ATGAACAAATCCACGGTCTACCTATGGGAAGCCCCTTGTCACCATTGATTACTGAAATCTATATGACAGCCTTTGAGGAAAAGACCATGGAAACCTCTCCGATCTCACCAATCTGCTGGTTCCGGAAAGTTGATGACACCTTTGTCATGCTTAGAGCTGAAGATGACCCATCAGCTCTACTTCAGCATCTTAATGCTCAGCATAAGAGGATCAATTTCACCATGGAAGCAGAAGAAGATGACTCTATACCCTTTCTGGATGTGAGAATGAAGCGGTTAGGCGGTCAGTTAAGACATGCGTGTATAGGAAAACTACACATACAGATCAGTATGTGAACTACCATTCCAACACCCCTCAACATGTCAAAAGGGCAGCCATCACAGCGCTGGTCAGAAGAGCAAAAAGGATTTGTGACCCAGAATACTTTCAACAAGAATTACAACACATCAAGAAAGTATTCTGCTTGCACAACAACTACCCTCCAGCCTTTGTACATCAAGCTTTTCGATCCGTATTAATGGCAAAACCAACCAACCAACAGCCTAATCCCAACAGACCATCAACCCGCTTAGCTATCCCCATTCATCGGAAAGGCATCATACCAAATCAAGAAGATCCTGAAAAAGTCAGTCGGCATTGAAACAGTGTTCTCTGGCAACTCAACGCTTAAAGATTTGCTCAGAGCCAGTGGTAAATTGAATCCCTCCAACAACCAAAAACCTAAGGGATGTGTCTACCAAGTTGAGTGCTCCTGTGGAAGCTCGTATATAGGGGAAACAAAGAGACCCCTTGATGTTCGACTCAAAGACCATCAAGACAAGCCCGGCAATGAAGGAAGATCTGCTGTGGCTGAACATCTTGCTATGGGAAGGAAAACAGGACATAAAGTCAACTTTGACAACACCAACATACTGACAATCAATAAGCACATAGATAAAACCAGGAGACTTCATGAAGCTATCCACATCAGAAGATATCAGCCTGACCTTAACAGAGATGAAGGTGTTCGTTTATCGCATGCATATGATAAACTTATCAACTTGTAATTATTCATATTCAAAAACAATTTCCAACTTTAAGCATAGTTAGTTATATGAACAATGTAATCTCTATTAATAAAAGACTCCAATACCAGCAATAGTTGTTTATCTAATCTTCAATTAATCTTTTTAAATTCATTTACTTTACTTCAATTATTTTACTTAATCAGCCTGTATGTTATTTTAAGAATTATGTACCTCTTATTGTACCTGTTAAAATTTAATGTAATGTATCAATAAACCATTTATCTCTTGTGTGTTCTTAATAATAAGCATTAATGTATATATAGTTTGCCCATCACTTCTTCTCATTATGTGCCTGAGGACGACGGGGGAAACACGTCGAAACGTTGCATAAAGCTGTGTCTATATTTCGTTTTGTTTGTCTATCATATATTGTTGTCTAGTTTCGAGTTCCATTTTTTAGGTAATTAAATGAATTTCTGATAAAGCAAAAGATGAATGGTGTTTAACATTAACTACATCACTCAATTTAACTGGTATATTTTTTTCATTATCTGTTATAATTATTTCAGGTTTAATAAAAACTTTTACAGTAACAAACGATATTTGTTCTTTCGAATTATTAATCTTATTCAGATCAACTGAAAATTTGGTTTTTCGATATAGATTCTTATCGAACATGTACAGGTATATATACTTCCAACTTCTGTTCCATCATTACGTTCAATAATTGATGAAAATATCATAAATTCTTTATCTTGTTGACTTTTATGAATATCGATTGAGCTAAATATATCATTATCAACAAAATATAGTTTTACGTATTCAAAGTCTGTCGTTCGTAAAAACTGATAACTGCTTACTCAATATCATATCAAAACCTTTCAATGAAAGTCCATATTCTTTATTATCTGGTATGATTAACATTCTAAACCTATCTATATATTTTCCACTCGTTTTAATTTCATATAAGTGATTAACCTTGTTGTTTTCGCTGTTACTTTCATATTGTTTAATTTCTACATTGTCTCTACCATTGATAAACTGAAGAACTTTTTGAGCGTTAAATGATTTAATAGATGAAAATACGAGTTGTTTGAAGAATAATGAATCAACTTTTACCTGGATGGGAAAATTAAATTTATTGGAAGAAAATCATTTTCTACATCAAAAATATCTTCGGGATAAGTAATATCTTTTGGAAGAGAATAAACTCTCATATTTACTGTAAATCCATATTTTTTATATTCATAGTCTTTTGATCCATCAATATATCAGTAATAGAAGGATCAATACGAGTCAAACCTCCAAATGGAAGATTGAAATAATATGATTCTTTCTTAAGAAACTTTTTTTCTAATGCGACTCTATTTTAGTCCTGTTTCAAAACTAGGTTATTAATAGTGGTTATCTTTTGTGCAATAACACTATCATCAATATTTTGTATTTGTTGTTGAATATAGGTTTTGATTTCGCTATCATCTATATTATGTATTTGTTGTTGAATATAGGTTTTGATTTCGCTATCATCTATGTTTTGTATTTGTTGTTTAATATTTATAGTTCTTTTTGTAATTCACTATTAATTTTAGTTTCCAGAGCATTTAATTCCTGTTGAAACGTATCTTCATTTTCATCCGGAATGTTATCTATTGATTGTTGAATGTCTAATTTTTGTTTTGCAATCTTATCCTCTAATTTAGATATTAATGAAATTAAATTTTGTAACTCAGTTTTATTCGCTACGTTGACCAATTCTTTTTGAATAAAACTTATTAAACCTTTTATCTCTTGTTGTAGTTTAGTATCATTAATAAAATTTTTATTATTTAGTTGACGTTTGAAGAATTTTTTCACATTACTTATTTTATCTTCTAAATGGTTTTTATTTACTTCAATTGAATTGTTCCCGTAAATATTTCTTGTGAACAGCGTCATTATCGTTTTCCGGAAAATTTAAATTAGTTACTTTGAAATTGTTCATATCTAAATCACCTTGAAGAGTGTCCCCGATTTGATCCACAAAGTAAGGTTTCGCTTTTTTTTATCCACGCTGTAGTGTTAGGTTTTTTAGTTTCTAAAGATAAAGAACCTAATCCAAACTTGTTCGCCATTTTTATTGAGTTAAATTTATTACAATTTCTTCGAAGTGTTTTCCTAAACTCAACTGATATAAAATCCAAAGTGAAAGCTGACCACAAAACTTTTGCCCCGGTAATTGAATTTGAAATGTTGAACATTTGGTTGGTTTATTAGTCAACTGGATTATCTCTTCAGTGGGTTCTAATCCATAAGAATCGAAGAAATATAAGTCATTTGAAGAGTCTTTGTACAAAGCAGAATGATGAACTCCTTTTTGATCGGAAGTATGTATATTTGTTAATTTACCTTTCTTATATTTGAGATCATTTATTTCATCTCTCATACAATAATAAAACGGTGATATATTTAACTCATTCGCCCATCTCATAAGTTGAAAGTTTGTGGTTGTATCGTTTCCATATTTATCGAGAAAGATATTCATTTTTAAAAGTCGGTTTTTTTGAAGTTCGTTTTGATAAAACCTACCTATGATTTGTTCTTTGTCTTGATCGATTAATTCATGTGTCGGAGGTGATGTGGTGTTTACATTATCCAGTATCCAACGTAACCTTTTTCGAATTTGCTTTTATATTTGAAAATACGAACTCGATCTCCGACTTTAAATTTGGGTTTGATATTTGAATTCTTTATTTCATTTTCGTAGTTATGTTGCGCGTTAATTGACTTTATAATATTTGGATTACTCGAGGCTTGTGTTGGTGTGACACCTATAGATGAATGAATTTTGTTATTGTATTCATCTACAACCTCTGGTAATATTTTAAGCCATTTTTGAGATTTCAATTCCGTGAACTTTTTAAATAATTTTTTTAGAGTTCTATTATATCTCTCAATAACTACAGCTTTATCTTCATTATGCGTACTGTAAATTTCAAATCCCAGAGATTTCATATTTTTGTTATAAAATTCACTTCCTTTATCTACCCACAGTTTTTCTGGATGTCGGTTAGATTGTTTCATAATCGTTTCAAATGCGTGTTTGTTTGACTGATAATCCCGTTTTGTTTTTCAAAGGAATAACCCAAGCATATCTCGTATACAAATCTATAACTGTTAAGCAATATTTAAATCCTCTTTCGACTGGCATATGAATAAAATCGGCTGACCATATTTCATCTTTTTCAAACACTTTGACTTTTAAAAAGTTTTTAGTTTTTCTAAATTCTTTATGAATTTCATCCGCTAATTCCATGCCCAATTTCATCTTTGCTTTTAACAGTTTTATGATTAATGCTCTTTGCATTCTCTCTTTGAAAGTTGGATTTGGAATATTTTCAAGTTCGATTATTATTAGTCTGTCTGCTTCATGTCTGAATTTTATGTCTTTGTTTCTGTATAGTAAGTCGTGTTTAAGCGCAGCGGCGTCAACTCTATTGACTGGTTCTTCCCCTGGTTTGGGTTTATCGTTTTCGTCTAATCGCAGATCTAACCTAGTACCTGGACCGGTGTAATTGTGACCGGGAAGATGTTTTTCTCCGGGATATTTCGCCCATGGAAATCCAGGAAGAGAACCTAATGATTTTTGAATGTCAGAACCGAAATAAGTTTTTGGAGCGTGAGCGACAATCATTTTTATACTATAACTTTAAAACCCTTTCCTTTCCTTTCTTCTAATCTCCTGTTTCGCAGATCTCTTATTAGTTGTAATTCTTTCAACTCGTCAGATGTGGGGAGTTTAGGGTGTAATAATTTATAGGGTGTTTTGGTCTTTTTTAGTGAAAGAATTTATGAAATGAAGGGTGTTTAGGTTTTTAGTATATGAGATGATAAGTCGGCATATGGTAAAGGGGGTGTAGTGTACATACACTGGATGGTCAATTTGGTAAAAAATTTTTTGGTAAACCGGTAAATGGTAAAATGGCATAAGGTAATGTACACATACTACTCAAGTCATTTGAGATATTTTTGAAGGATTTTCGTACATTTTATAGTACTTCTGAAGACTATTCGTGAATGAGGGTCGGGGGACTTCAACAGGTGGGTTGGGGTTAATTGTATCATTCTTCGTGGTGTAAGTTGTACTGTGTTAAGGTATGTCTAGACTTATCATCAAATAGCAGTGGAAAGTGGATGTGCTCAATGTAAGCACGTTCACACGAAGATTGCGATGACAAAGTGAATTCATAGCAACATAAAAGTATGACGTAAAACTCCATCCATTTCATATCATTTACATTTGCCACAACATTGTAAGTGGGATAAATCTGATTTTGCAATTTGAAAATCATCTAACGGCCAATTTACATGATAAAGAAAGTTGTATACAGCAAGCTATATAAAATTTTTATTGATATATTCCTTGACGGTTTGTAACACAATATGTAGAGTTGCACGAATCAGGCCCAAGTTGTTTACATAAATTGAAGTTGAATCATACAGTGTAAATAGCACTATTTTCACGACAAATTTTTCATTTTAAAGCAAGGTTTATACAACTTGCTTTACGCGTAAAAAGCATTTATGGTTTAAATGTAACCCTTTCTACCACAAAAGGATGTTAGTTTTATCTTTACATGGCCAGCTTCAACAGTGAATTTTTCACATTATCATTTAAACCACCACAATTTACTTTACAATGAATTGTCTGGATAGATAAAAGAAGAATTGTTCTTGTCATAATTGTAATTATGAATTTTTATTTCTAGGTCTAAGATTTAAATGGTTTTTTTTTTTACAAAATATTAGCTCGACCAGTGCTGTACATAGGAGTCTCTGTAAACTTCTTCTCTCTTAATACAACAATAGTTGCAAGCAAAACTATAAAGGTGTGAAATTAGCACCCTTTGACTTCATGACCAGTTACATAATATTTAAAACTTTACTAATTAGTAGTATTGTTTTTTTTCAAATATTTTCCCAAATTTTGATGAGTAGTATATGTCTTTTCGGATATGACGCATTTCACTTCTGCGCATGCGCAGCTTCTTCAATGCGTCATATCCGAAAAGACACAACTGTTAAAATGTATTATAACAGACTCCCCAAGCTGCTAAAACTGTATTATAACAGACTCCTCAAACTGCTAAAAATGTATTATAACAGGCTCAGCATTCTCCATATAAATTACCCAAACCACACAAGATTCACTATAATAATACAGTATAAAATAACCGCATTAAAAAAAGATGTTTTTAATTTTAAAACACGAACAAAAAAAAATTCGAAGGAGCTATTATCTCTCATCTCCAAAGTGGCCAACTTTGTCTCAAACAACAAATCCCTCATTTCATCAGAAGCGCAAGCTCTTGGTTCTGTGGCAAAAGCAGGAGTAAATATAAGCGATGCAGTGAAAAAATCTGACGAACTTAAACAACTGCAGCTAATAAGAGAACTAAGAAACAAGAGACTAGAACGACAAGCCCTAGAAAAACAAGGAAAAGGGTTTAAAATCATTGGATAAAAATGGCAAGCAAAAATTACAGATTGGATCCAATCTTTCAATTGTATGATCCGATTCAATATTCGTTCAACAAAAAGAAAGAGGATTACGTAATCATCTCACCATCGGTAGGGACAAAGACCCAAATAAACGACGGAGGAAGAGTTACCTTTGAAATTAATTCGTTGTCCAATTGGTTGCTGCTTTCCGATGCCCATTTCCGATGCGATTTCAAAATCAAAGACGCCACTCAGAATCGAATTCCACAAACCAACATGACTTTAGAAAACAACTTCTTTCCGTCTTTATAAAGCGAAATGGTTTTGGAAGCTGGTTCAAATCCGATAGAGACCATAAAACACCCCGGCGAGTTTGACACAATGTTGAAAACGGTTCTGTATCCCAAAAACTACGATTCAGTTTCGGGATGGATTCCCGATGTCGGTGACGGAGAAGATTTAAAAGACCCGGTCAGAACTGTAGCAAATGACGCAGACCTTGCTAGGATAAGGGTAGTTGCTAGAAACACACTGGAAAGAGTGTCTCGCGGAGTAAATCACGGATTTGAGAAACGAGCGCTTCAATACAACAATGTTGTCGAGAACAACAGATGGGGTAATTACGTAAATTGGAAGTTGTATCCTTTATTTGGTCTCTTGGAACACAGAAAGGTTTCCATAGGTTTGCCGTATAAAATTCATTTGCAAAGAGAAATCAACGACAACAAGATATTCTTTGGTGAAAACAACTCTGACGCAAAATTGGAAATAACGAATATCCAACTTTACATACCGGTAATCACTCCTTCCGTAGAAGTGGAAACGAGAATATTCAACTCTTTAACCAAAGACATCGAAATTGCTTTTCTTCGTCGTAACACGGTAGGTAGCATGACTTTAATGGGAGAATCCACCACGTGGCCAATCACCAACACCGTCAAACCAGCGAGATATCTAATGGTCGGTTTCAAAAACTTACCAGACTCGCAGACAAACAACAACAACATTTTCAGAGTGGCATTGAACCATACTCAAGACCCCATCATTCGCAAAGTTCAAGTCAGATTGAACAACGAAATTATCCCAATCAACCT